GATTTTAGAGATTATTTTTACAATGTAGCATATTATTTATGAACTTATGATTAATTATCGTTTTTATATTATTTATAGAGACTCACACTTAACTTATAAAATATTATTTATTTTAATTTAAAAATCTTTTAATTTTGTCTGTAAATAATACTTCACAAATATAAATTTAAATGTTTATATATATCTATTATATCGTATACTTATAATTTTTAATATGAGATTATGGATGTCACATCAATGATATTTGAGTTAATTTCAAAATCGTTATATTAAGATTTTAGTTCAATAAAATTGAATTTAATTTTTAGATTGAAGATTTAGAATTCAAACTCTAATCATAATAAAAAAAATTAACTCAAGAATATTGAAGTCAGCTCTAAGATGGAAACAATAAAGTATCTATTCAGTAATATTAAAATCAATTCTAAAATTAAAAGATTTTGTATTTAAATCCCAATCCTAAAAAAATTCCCTACCTTAATCAGGTCTTATTTGGGGTATGATGCAACCCCATAGAAACAAATATACGAATACAAGAATAAAGAGAAACCCATCATCAATCATCATTCTTTTTAACCCACCGAAAACAAAATTCTCCCCAATGCTTTGCATTTTGGCAAATTCATTCAAAACAAAAACAGTTCTTTTTTCTTTCTTGGCTATCTAAGGCAAGAGGATTAGGAAAAAGGTTGGGAGGGGAGAAAGAAAATGATTTATAATTATTAAACAGTAATAATTTTGCTGGGGGAAGTGGTAAAGAGAGTTGGTCAAATTTTGTTGACTGACGCAATGGAGAGAGACGTGAGAAGTGGTGCTTTCATAGAAACGCGTTTCTTTGTTTCTCTCCCTTGCTAGTATTGTATTACTATCATTTTTCGACTTTTTTTTTCATCGCATAATTACTATCATTATGCTATGAAAATCTAGATCTACCCTCAACTGGCCCTTGGGTAAGCAAGACAGGGGACCCCTCCAAAGAGACACAGTAGGGAAGAGATGGTCCAAAAACAGGGTAGAAACAAAACAAAAGGCGCTTGCTTTCCAGGATGGGAAAATGACCAAATAGTTCTTACAAGGCAAGGAAAAGCGACGCCGGAGATAGGATGATGAGTAAAAAGAATTGCATGATATAGTTATTTTATGTTAGTATATATTTTCTTATTTAAATTATATTAGGTAATTATGATAATAAAAATTTAATTATTTATTATATATAACGTGAATTTATTAAAATAAATATTTATTATTTAATTATCACATGTAATGAATAATAAATAATTAAAATTTTTAATAATATGATTATGTAATATAATTTGAACAAAAAAAATTGTCTTGAAGTAAGTATTTAATGCAATATTTTTTCAATAATGGAAAATTGATTTTAATTGATTTTATACATGAAAATTAATTGAATTCAATTAAATCTGTTTGATAATAATTGATTAAAAATAATTTAATTGATTAATTAAATTAATTTTTCATGTTTAAAACTAATAATTAAGTTAATTGAATTAATTATTTTTAAAAGTATTATTTAAATATATTATGTAATATAAATATTTATATAAATAATTTTTATTTATAGATTTAAGAAAAATAAAATGATATTGATGGTAAAATTATAAAGTGAGTTTTATTAAGTAAAAATTATTGTAAAACTATTATTTAAATTTAATAACAAAAGAATGGTAGAAAATTTTAATTTTTCAACTGAGTTGATCAATGTATTTTGATTGAGTTATTTTTTATTATTAAAAATAACTCCATTGATTTTGATATTTTTTTAAAAGAAGAATCCATTAGTTCCTTTTATGATTTTTTAACCCTAGAGAAAGGACCAGGGAGGTGTCTTTCGAAAGGGACTATAACGTCTCCCTTATTTACCTCGTGGATCTCGGTGACTTTCAAAACCAAGTGTCCTTTTCTGGGTGACCAACAGCTCAATAGGGTCTAGCTGTGCAGCAAGCAAACTCGTTTTCAACTTTCAATCTCGTTGATCAAAGATTCAAAAGCATCAAAACTAATGATTCCAGGCTCCCAAAGTTTCTGGGTTAAAGATTAGGCAACATGCATAGCCATTGCAGTTTCTAGTGCTGATTTTATCTGATATTATTTTTTTCGAACGCCCTTTCACTTAGTACTAGAAAACTTCGGTCTAAGAAAAATATCAGCGAACCCAAAGCTCTTCCAACCCAGAAAACACGTAGATCTATCGCTAATTTATGCCTAGAACGGTGTTCCTTGTGTCCCCTCAAGAGTCCCAAAACTCTTCCCTCCTTTCTATGAAAACAGCAATGTAGTTTTTCACTTTCATCTTGTAGTAATCCCCCAAAATAATACAAATAATAATCTAGTGCTTTGCTTTATCATTTTGTTTCTCAAAATGTTTTTTTGGAATGTTAGCAGTGTATACGACATGACATGGATAGTGTTAAAAAATAAAAACCAACATATCAGCCGCAATCAATTAAAGTTTTGTTTTTCTTTTTGGACTGAATGTTTTTCTTGAAATATTTTCTTAGCAAATATAATAGATACGAACCTCCTTACACAATCTTATAATGTTGTTTTGTCCTACAATTAGATACTTAACAATTGTTGAACAATATGAAATTAAGAACACAAAAATTCATGCGTAATTAATTTTTTACAATAATCAATCCCATGAACCTTTTTCTGACTTTCATAATTGTAATTTGCACGTTGAGACCTTTCATTGATTTTTCATCTTGTAAATTGGGCCTAATAAATTGTTCATTAAATTTTAGTATTCGTTAATAGAAGTGATTTCAAGGTAAAAATAAAGGGGACCTCCATATATGAATCTAGAAGAAGAAAAAAAGTTACAAGGGATAATTACTTGAAGGGATGATTACAAGCAATAAAGCATCTCCGCCTGCAAAAGCCAATTTCCTTTGTCTGCTCTTCTTTTTACATTGTTTGTGGGAATCAAAAATACATAATTTTTCTTTTTAGATCTCTCTTTCAACTTTATTCGACTGTGATACATTTGCTGCTACTAACTCAAATGTCTTTCCTCTTCCCCACCTTCTCACTAATAATACCCCATTTTATCTAAATAATAATAACATTCACATTTGCTTCATGATAATAGAAAGGCACACCTATGATTTGATCTATAAATAAAAATGTCGTCTCTTTTCAACTTTAATTTATTCTTTCTTTTTTTTTTTCTTCCTTCTTTCTCTTGGGAGAGTGATTGAGGGGAGATGGGGGTTGCACATGGGGTAAAGTTTCATTTCTTCATTTGTTTCACTCTACTTTCTTGATTTCAAATTGTCAATTTTTGTTTCCGAAACCAAGTTTTGTTGGTGTGTCATTCAGATGCTCTCAAAACTCTTTTATATAATGGCTAATAGAAGGCTTTTTGTGTTGCATGTCAATGATTTTGAAACCATTAATTTTAATGACAATTTCTTGGTCATGAAATCATGATCAAGAATCTTCACAGCCTGAAGAAAGGTTTTGCAGTCTTTAAACATTAAAATAATCATCTACACACTATTCTTTATTCAGAAATATGATTTTCATATAACCCTCAAATATGATACCATTTTAAATTAAAAACATCAATAGTTCAGTTGGATGTGTTTACATTCTATAAGAAAAGCTTCAGACAGAAACCAGATAAAATGAAATGATTCCATTTCTCTTTGGGGCAAGAAGCTTCTTAGACTCAAATTATTTGATTAGCAGTTCAGATCTCACTGTCATTAGATTTTCTAGCAATTGCTAATATCGTACCATACAACATCAGTGGTATAAATAAAACCAGGAATTTCAAGCTAGATTATCAGATCTGATGAAGTGAAAAGATATGAGATTTGGAATTCAATTAAGAGAACATGCAAAAGTTCTGAAAGGTTGTCGTATTGGTGATGTAGGATGTCGCATTGGTGATGTAGGATAACTTGATGTGGTAATCGTTTGAATTAATCACTACTTGGAGGGACTAACAGGGGACCAGGGGGGCAGGGCGTATCCGCTTACATTCTTGGCCCAATAAGCGTGTGGGATTGCAAACGAGCTTCTCTTACCCTTTTCTACAACTAATAATGTGCTAAGATGTGCTTCAAAATTGAATTGGAAGAAGATTAAAGACGTGAAAAACTGGTTTATATTCATCATTTCAGGTTTATTGAGATGCACTTTTTGAATGCTTGTCTTGATACGTGGAAGCTTCAACCCTGAAGAGTTTACTGAATTCTTCCCGCTGTTTCTGGTACTGGGCAATTGCATTAATGTTGTAGGAAATTGACAACGAACAAGACAATGCAATGGTGTTTTAGCAGGTTTGTTTTTGTATTTTACCTTATAGCTCGACTCATTTTCAATTTGTCTAGCTTAATATGTACCATTTTTGGTCAAGTGGGCACCAGTCTGTTAGTACTGAACATTTGCAGGTTTTGACACCCTGGATTTCCATTTGCTCCTTAGTGGAATAAGTAAAAAAATAAGAAAGAAAAAAAAAAAGAAAATCTTACTACTGAGCTATCCCTTTTCCTGGTTACCTTCCTAAATTTACATAGGCATTATTTGGAATGGTTTTTGACTCATTCAGATTGCTGCTCTTTCAACTGATAATGATATATCAAACATGCCTCTTTTAATCTGTTTCAACATAAAGGCATGCTTGTACTTTTGTACGAAGAGTCATATGTCACAAGTCAGAACCCATCTCTTAGCATCAAGACTTGAATCTCAAGATCTCAACCATTTTTCATATGAGATACCATTGAGGGCTACAAGGTTACAGGCATACATTTCATATTTATTTCAACTGACATCTTATTACCATGAAACCTTGAATGATTTAATCATTTGTTAATGGATGTAAGTTCCTAGGTAAACAGTTATATTTTACCTAGTGGACGTGACAATAGCAAAACGAATCCGGCAGAAAAGGTAAAAAGAACATTAACACACCAAGAAAGGCTACTCTTTTTGCATACTCACAAAACATGTCTACTGAGGAATGAGGTATAATTGTGTCAGGAATAAGGATTCAGGAATTCTGAGAAGCGGCAAGAAAGAGAGCTCCAGCTCCAGGGCCACCATGTGAATGTTCAACGATTATGTTGTCTGAGAGCTCATTCCCAAGCATTTCCCAAACACTGCTATGGAGATAATTCCTGAAGATTCTGTAGTGCTCATAAAGCCCACCTTCTATTATAATTACACTTCTTCTGTTGGCTATTCTCCCAAGCTTCTTTATAATGGCCACAATGCCTGCTCCAGCCAGACGAGCTCCACGTTCCGTTACAATGTCACATACCTCTGCAACAATTTCTCTTGCCATTGGTGTAGAATTGGTGATCTAAGGTTGATGAAATGCAAGTAAGGAGACAGTTTCAACTTTTAAGTTTTAAATGCTAACATCCAATTGGTTTAAAAAAAAAGAGAGAGAGTTCTAGCAAAGTGAGTGTTTGGGTATTTAGTAGTTTCAATTTGATGACCATTGAAAAGATTCTTAATATTCAATACCAGGATTGATATAGGCTTCGAATATGAATTAGTTGGGTTCAAAAGCTTGAAATTAGTCGGAAGAAGAAAAGTGAACCTGAAAATGGAGCTTAGCTTTATTGGTTTATGCCATTATACATGGTATCGAATAAGTTCAAGGTTGAAATCTTAACATTTGTAATCCATTCTCTTATTCCAATGCTGCTATCTCTCTTTTAAAAAGTGATGATTTTAAATCAACTTAAAATTTATTGGATTTAAAAAAAAAAAGCTATTAGATCCCAAATGATTCACACACTTTTCCTGGAAGTGGATTCTAACAAGATTGATATTCTAACCCCACACTTGCATATTCTCCCTCCCCCAATTTCCCCTAAACTTTGATCTCCTTTGTAAAAAAAAGAAAAAAAAAGCAATTGCATTTGGATGAGTGTCAAACATGGATGTGAGTGCAGCGTAGATATATTCAACTTTTTCTAAATTTTTTTATATTTAAAATGTTATATCCTATATCCAAATTCACTTTAAGCCGATAATATATGTTTGACGTAGTACATTTCGATGGAATCATAATGTGAGCAACAAACTTTACCCCAAATATTTCCTTGAGCTTTTCATGCACAACTTCACGATCTTCTGATGTATCCTGATGCATTGCAGCCATATCAGGTGACCTAAGGAGGAAAAATTAGATTAGATATTCATGAATCAGTTGATGTGTCTATGATGCGATCCTGACCTATGACCACAGAATGGACACTTCTTTTTCTTATAAATATTGCCAATTATTAATGATTATGTTCTCTTTAACAATTGTTTTGGGCTCAAATAATATACTATTAAGCAAGCAATATTGATGCATTTAGATTAAAATTATGGTGGCCTTGCTTACCTTAGCAAGTAAGGAATCAGAAGTTTTGGAGGTACACTTTGACCAAAAAGGGCTGTATCCTGTGCCATCTTAACTAAAACTCTTCTTACAATTTCTCCCAAATACATTCCAGAAATCAGCTTTTCGAAAATCTGAGATAAAAAAGAAGGTTTAGAAACAAATTGATGGAGAAGACTTATGCCTTCAATTTGAGATATATTATTTGAAATGTAAAGTTGGCCTTACCCCGCCACCAGGCTTCGAACTTTCAGCATCTAAAGAAGCATCATACTGAGTTATTGGAAGATAACAAGAATTGAAGTTTCTCCATTCCATGCTAATAACCTATGAAACAAAGCACAAACATCAAATTTATGTTCACAAACTAAGCAAATGAGCAGCATTAGTATCTGTCACTCACTATCTCGCCTTTCGTTGGCAATGAGCCATGCCACCTGGGAGCTGATTGAACTGTATCTACATAAGCAGCATTTGTGCCCATTCCTAAGGTAATTGCTGCCACACTGTCCTTATTATAGTATCTTCCACCAGCTAAAATTCCAACGGTATCATCAACCTGCTCAATATCTTAGCTGAATTAACTCGAAAAAGGCTCTTATCCACTCCGATGAACAATGTTATTTAAGCAATGCAATGCAAATGAAGTTGCTTACTAATGCATAAACTCGCATATTTAAGCCATGTTTTTCCAGAGCTTGATTGATTTCAGTGATCAGTTTCTTTCCCCTCTGATTAAACAGTGAGATTCAAAAAATTAGGATAGTTATGGAAAGTTCAGAGTTGAGATTTATAATCTTTTTTCAGTTCTGTAACTCAACTGTGTCATCAGCAGAGAAATTCTTCCATTTAATTGCTGAGCCAGATGTGGTTGTAGCTTGGTCCGCTGCATAAGACAAGGTAAATCCCAGTTTCCTGTCATTTGCTGCTGTTTCATCATTGTTCGCGGGATGTGCCAAGATAAATTTTGCAAGCTCCGCAGCAATGTAATCGCATAATTCCTGAAGACCAATAAGGTTTAAAAGTTTAATATGAGTGTAACTTTTTTTTCTTTTATCAATCAAACGATCAACATTGGAAAACAAATCAACTAAATAAATTTTTTTTTCTTTCTGCTAGTTTATCTCAAATATTCACTTAATTTATACTGTAATATGACAAAAACTATGTTTACTGTTATCTTCTATGTATCCCAAAATGTCCTCCCATGCTAAAACATATCATCATATCAAATCAGATATAGTAAAACCACACCTGTGATGTGCCAAGCATGACATTGGAGGGAACAGAAATTTCCTCCCTATGTAAGTCAGAAATAGGCTCATTTTTGCCTTCCAGCCTCGCACACACCATCAAAAAATTTATTTCTCTCAAGTTCACCCCATAATACATTCCCTTCTGATTAATCCTGCCACCAATGCAGCAGCTCCAAAACAATTAATATATATATATATATATATATAAAACAGTACTATCTGCTAAATTTGAAGATTGAGGCCTAAGATTTTACCCGGTGGGAAGAGGAGAAACATAGGAAACAAGCATGTTGAGGCTACTTGGTGCTTCATCTGAGGAAGAAAGTGAGGCTTCCATATCAGAAACCATGGCATTAGCCACTTGCCACAACTTGGGGACTGGAGTTGCACATTCCCTTGCAAATTTACGCATGATTCGTTGACTTTTCCTCCATTGCCGGTCCTTGTTTTGCTTCCAATATTGCCTCACTAAAGCCAACACCGCCACAACTGTTGCAGCTGTTGTGGTCACTACTGCAAACACTACCTCTTTCTTCATCTTTCGCTTGATTAGAAAAATATTGGATAACAAAAACTTCCCTTTTCTTTATAGTTTATAATTAAATCTTCTTTTTCCTTATCTCAGGTTGATAAGGTAAATAACAGAACTCCTGGAAATCAGTAGCGAAGAACGAGTATCATGGGAGGGAAGGTCTTGGTCGTGCTTGGAGTTGGAGAGATCAGAGATGGCATCGAAAGTCTAGGATTCCAAGCCCAAAGATATGCAATTGGAGGCATTACACCGCTCAGCGTAGGCCTCTCCTCCTCTTGGGTTTAGATCAATCTTGTGTTCCATGTGAAGAAGGGACTCCAACATTATTATTCTGGGCTACATGTGGGCAAAGCAATTGAGGGTAGCCCAACCAGTCCAATATTATAGTTTGAGTTTGTGGCCCGATTGCCTGTTCCATGTGAAAATGCGAAGAAACTTTGAATTTCTTAGTACCGACTTGAATCTCCAACTTAATTTTACATGAAAGTGGAAAAGAGTTTGGTTAAACCGTAATGTGATCGCATGTTGAATATGTAGAAAATTGTTGTTGGATTTTCTAACAAAGAGAATAAGGCATGAAAAACGTTGTCGTCGTATTTATTCTCTTCATTTTCTTCAGTAAACCATTCTCTCTGTCTCTCTCTCTTTTTTTCCAATGATCATTTTACATGGAATTAAAGAGTCACCATACTCTCAAAAGTTCCAAATTAAAGTCAAAGTTTGTGGTGCTACTCAAATGGCTTAGTGGAAAATTAATGCTAGCTTGTTCTTAATTTTTAAACGTTTTAATCTTTGTAAAAATAGAGACAAAACTGTTTACCAATTCCTTTCACCTTATAAAGTCAATCACGGACGCTTTGCCTTGAATCCTTGATGCTAATTAATCCCCATGTCTTTTTTTTTTTTTTTTTTTTTTTTGCATAATTGCATTCTCTTTTCAAGGCCAACCGTATTTGTTGCATGAAATTAAGGAGGCATAGCTTTATCCCAACCCCCTAGCTAGTTTTCCTCTTCGGTTCCAGGATAAAGGGAAAATAAAAGAAAAAAAAATATAAGAGTAAAGAATCCTTGATTCTAAAAAGAAAAAAAATCATATACATATAAGATATGAATTAAAGAGATATAAGCTTTTTTCTATATCAAGATTTTAACTCCACTAGCGAATATATAAAATTGTCAATAAAAATTTTAAAAAAAGTGATTAAATTAAATTTAATAAGATTATATTTAATTCACGTATATATAAATTAAAAATAAAAATTAAGTTTAATTAAAAATATAATTTTTATTCTTAATTTTTATATATGTAAATTAATTTTTATATAATTCATATATATATATATATATATATATAAATTCGAGTTAAATCAAACTGGATTCGAACTTTAAATCTTTTATTATCTGACTCAAAATTTATATAAATCAAAAAATTATGTCTAAATCTATTTAATAAGTTTTAATTTATTATTTATCTTCTAAAAACTTAAACGAATCTTCGAATTTAGAGAGCAACCCAATCCTTAAACAGATTTATATACTTAATGATACCTGAATAAGCCTAAATTTGAAGGAATAGGACTCAATTGACAAAAGGGGAAAACATAAAATAATGAAAGGATTAAAAGACCAACCGTACCAGCCTTTTGAAAAAGTATGGAAGAAATTATTATATATATATATAGAAAATAGCAAACTATATTGAAAATTTTGGGCATAATAATCAACCCCACTGATTCCAAACATCAGCATCCAGTGGAAAAGCTGGTGATGATCGGCAATGAACAAATTTATTTGCAGGAACAAAACCCACCACCAACTTGTCCCAAAAGAAAACAAAGAAAAAGGCCCAAAAATAACTTTTTCCTCGTCAATTGTACCAGTTCAAATGTCTATATTCATCAAAGTCATCACGCTTCATGAGAATTTCTATTTGATTAATGTCGAAATCAAGAAATATCATTCAATCCTTTCGGTAGTTAAGAAAAAGGTAAACAGGAAAAAGGCGGAGACTTAAATTGATTATAGGCCCACTATTGACTAAATTGCAGCAAGAGCTGAGAAATTGGTTGCTTGTTTTGAAATATTCATTGTTGATTATACATTAGTTTTTACTATCATATTAGAGATAAAATCTATACTGTTTTACTTTTTACTAGCTAGCATCGATTTTATGGTTAAATTTTGGTTCTAATAATTAGATTCATTTGATATATATTAACAAGGGAATTCAATAAATTAATCAAAATATTTTATTAACAAAATCACTCGAATGCACTATAAATTTATAAGCTCTAAATGTTGGTTACTCAAAAGGATATCTCCAACCATATTATATATAGGGTTGAAAATGAATATATGTATATATAAATATATATGCCGAATAAATGCTTTAACATTTAGGTGGGGAAGCTCCAAATTTATTGGATAAACATTTTGTCATATTGTAAGTTGGATGTGTAAAAGGTTTGAAAATGGAGAAAGAGAATAGAAAGAACATCAGATCATGGTAGTTGTAATTATTCGTCAACCATTGTTCAGCTTGTATCAAACCCTATATTAAAACCACCGACCATTATTTGTACTGTTTTGGGACAAAAGTCGTAGGTATTAGCTTTAATCCTCCTTACCTGTAGTTGTCTGACTTTGACTATATTGTTTCTTCTTGCGAAAGCTCCTAGAAACTGAACAAAGAACAACAGTTTTTCTTTACAGACTTTTGGGACATTTCTAAATGCTGTCCTTTTGGTTGGATCAGTTTCATCTACCTCTACAATCCATTAATTGTAAAATCTCGCAAAATATGTTGGTTAATTAGTAAAGGTCTTCGTCTATTACTTTCACAAGTTAAAATAATAGTTTGATTAATTTAATCATATTTAAGATGTAACATTTAATAAATTTATATTTAAATTTTAATAATCATAATTTTTTTTAAAGTTGCGGACATTACAAATTAATTAACCACTAATCATCATCTTAATTAATCTACCCCCTATAGCAGGCTAACAATGTATCCTACTTACTAGGTAATAATGTATGCTTAAATACAGAGTTACTCTTTGATTTTTCTCCTAACTTGTAACCTGGGAACTTCGAAACATCCGAAGATGTTTCTATCAATCAATATCCTACCAATTAATGTTTTGGTTTGAAGCAATGGAAACAGGAGAGCAGCCTAATAAAAAGTACTTGCTTATTTATAAATACTGAAAGAGAAAGAGGGAAAGAGAGAGAGTCAAATGTCAAAGAAGAGGAAGAAACAATGGCGGATTGCACTCTTTGGTGGGGACTATGATAACATTTTAATTACTACTACTACTACTACTGCTGCTTATCTAAAAGTCGTTAGCAATTAAATATTTTCAGAAGCTCCCATTTGTATGCATCCAACTGTTGCAATCATCTTACCTCACTTATGCGTGTCTCCCTTTCTGTTCACACGTCATATATATGTTAAATCCCCCAATTATTATATACTAAAAAAAAAAAAGGTTTTGGTAATTGTGATCTTTCAGGAGAATCCATGACTGCATCTTTTAGGCATTTGCTTGCACGACACTACTTTATGGCAAAAGAAATTACAATGATTCATTTGTAGCAAAATGGAAAGAACTCTCATCGCATTATAACTAAACTTTATATTCGTCGCATTATATCTAAACTTTATATATGTGTCTATATATATATATATATAATCAATGATTAATAAAAAATATAAAAAGGTGTAAAAATTTTTTTTTTTTATGTAACTTCATCCCTCCCCATATGAAAATTATCCAATTAAATGGGGGCCAAAAGCAATAAATTAAGACATTGAAATAACTTTAGATCATCGAAGTTAATTTATTAAATTTTAATTAAAAGAAAAGTCATAATTTATTTAGTAAAAGGTGCAATTACAAGGATAGTTTACACAACGAATCAAATATAAAAAATAGATATATATCTTAAGCTTCCTAATAAAACTCTAATCAAATCTAAAAAATAAAAATCACCTAAAACTTATTTTGGATCAATTAACACGTTATTAGAGTTGATATTTAAAAATTAAAAATTCAAAAAAATTTATGTACATAATTTTTTCTTCAACCAGATAATAAGAGGGGTTTAAGGGTAAAATAAGAATTAAAAAAAAAAAAAAAACCACCTGTAAGCTTCCAACATTAATGGAGAAAAGAAGGGGAAAGATGCCATGTATACAACTAAAGTCTAAACCTCTCAAAAACCTCTTGAAGCTAAGGAGAATCCAACACAGCCACGTGGCATCTTTGCTGCAAAAATAAAACGTGGTCAATAATTCGCAAAAAAAAAAAAGACAAAGAGAAACCCCTCCTTTGCTGCAAAATTGGATCCTCGTTGCTATTGATAATGGTCGATAGTAACTAGTATGGAGGGAATAATTTACAGGCTATTGTTTCTCTCTTTAAGGTCTGAGGAAAAAACCAACAAGAATAAACTATAGAAAATCATCACTGATCCAAAAAAGAGAAAAAAAAAAAAAAAAACTCATTGATCTTATTCCTAGTTATTTTCTCCCCATCCAATGGAAGTCGATAGGCAATCTTGTTTTCTCGGTGTGAACATGGATTTGCAAGTTCATCACATGTACTTCAGCAAAGCCAGTCGTAGGCTTTTCACAAGATCCTTCACTGTCATTGAAAACTCATCTTCCATCTGCAATAACATGAAAGTGTGGCTTAAGTCAAGGGTTGTAAATAATACTTATAATAATTAAGCTAAATTGAATAAAAAAGGAAGAAACAAAAATTCCTTGCTAGAATTTCTAGAAGGTTGTAAAATTACCTGAGCAACAACGGTTATGTCAAGAGTAGCTTGTCCAAAGGCTAAGACATTGCTATTGAGCACTGAGAGATGAAGCTTTTCGACTTCATTTATGATATTTGATATGCATCCTTTGTTTTTCTCACAGAGGATTCTAATGAGGACATCCTTGTCTGAAACTCTTGCTTCGATCTCGGGGAATGGATTGTTAGATTGGCTATCAAAGTTCTCATTAGATGAAGATGTCTCATCATCTGCAAAAAATTGGGTTTTCCTCACAAAGATTACTGATTCTACTGTTTTCTTAGCAGCCTGTTCCTCAAGCGTAGTCACTCGCTCTTGAAGTTCTTTCAAGTATTTGATAGCGTCTCCAAGCACAGAGTTCTTATCTGTCTGCAAAGACAAATTAGATCAGCATAAGCCAAAGCTTTGTTTCTTTTGAAAGTACTTTGCTTTTGATGAATTCCAAAAGTTAATGCATTAAATATTATGAACTATATATGAGATTAACTAATATAAGCTAAACCTTCATATCGTATGAAAAATAGAGAGGAAATGTTATATACAAAAAAAAAAAAAAAAAAAACCTTTTTCAGGCTAGGAATAAAAGAAATTAAAACAGAAATCTTTGAAAGACTTTGAACTTGTACCTTTTTCAGGCCAGGAATAAGTGCCGAAAGAGATATGAACCTCTGGCTGAGCTTTTCACGGCGTTTTCTTTCAGCAATTACATGATCTCGAGCATGTAAAGGATTCCTAGTCAATGAACCGGCCCCCTTTGAAACTTGCCTAAATTTAGGTGAGCAAGATTGGTTCTTGCAGGCACTTTGAGAAATCAAAGATGGAACATATCCCATATTTCCCTCCCAACCCAACTCATTATTTTTGGGTTTCACATCACAGTCAAGACCATAGTATTGCTGAGAAAAAGACGGTGATGAATTCGAATTGTCGAAGGAGATTATCTGGGAAGATGAGGAAGAAGAAGCCTTTATTGGTGGGATGTTTTCTGTGATGCTAGAGTCCCAGCTGTTGGTCTTGAGTTGTTTCATTGGCCTTTTAAAGTCTTCGACCTGATGAGAAGCGTCATTAATGCATGAACCATTCATGTTGTTGTGGGAGATTTTCTGGTCGATATGTGGATAGGATGAATAGCTCTCAGAAGAAAAAGATTGGAAATTGATATCATCAAATGAATAGTCAATAGGGTTCATCATTTGGTATTGTGGGAAAAACATGGGATCCTCCATTTCCTGTAAATCAAACCATCACAACTTTCATAAGATAAGGAATTCTTTTTTGTTTAGACGGTTGGGACCGGTATTAGAACAGTCATTACCAGTTCAGATAACCATTTGCCTGAAGCGATTTCCATTTTTTCCGCTTTCCCTTGATTTTCTGCTTAGGACTTGAGGCCGCCCTTAAACCTGGAATGATTAAACAAGAAACCAAAATCTTAGAAATGAAGGCACTATAGGAATCAAAGCAATTAAAAGTTGCTAATATTTCAAGCTATATATCTGATAGTCTGATACTAACCCCATAATCATCTTTGCTTTTGACTAAAGAAATTAATGAAAGAAAAGAACATTTCACAAAGAAGAAAAACACAGATAAAGAAGAGAAAATCCAAGAAAGACCCAGTAATAAAAAATTAAAAAAAAAAAAAGAAACCAATGGAAAATTCAAGGCTAAAACAGCAAAGTCAGTGTTGAGTTTAGAGTAGGGAGTCGAAAATGAAAAGCTTACCTTCAAAACAAAGACTGAGAGTCTAAAGAGAAGTGTTCAGATGTCGTTTGATTGAAATTATTCTGTCCCAATTCAATTGGCCATGAGGAATCAATTAGTAAATCTATATATACAGGTGTATGCCGTATAGACATACGCGCTTCTAAGTACTCTATGATTTCTCGCATGTGTGAAAATATGTTCCGCTTTTCTAGTTTTCTCCGTCCATTTGTAGGCTCTGTTTGTGGACTTCCACATTTGAATTTAATATTAAAACATATCAATATCGCCATACCTGCTTTTCTTTCCATATTCATTCTTGTTCTTAGTAATGAGATAGTCATATGTTATACCGTTGTCATAAAAATGATTAATAACAAATTACTATTGTGACAAAAAGATAATTTCGTAAAAATCAGATTACATACTAGACTTTAATGCTAAAAGATCGTTTCAGTTTTCAGTATCAGCTAAAATATTTTAATATTATGCCGACTACTTATGTTTGGTTAAAAGTTATACTAGTAAACAGTTCGATATTTTGAGAAATTGGGGCATCTGATCTTGATTTCTTTCTCTTAATTGGGAGCTGATCTTGAATTTGCTTAGTGATTTGTACTGCATTTTTCTTGTTGGATTCCAATCATGTTTGGAGTGGCTTTGGCTGTAAATTTCTAATAGAATTGTTATTCTTCCTTCTAATTAAGTCCTCTATTGTATAATTTTTGTGAGAGAGAGCGAGTGAAAACAAAACTTTCCTATAACTGGATACTGATTTTACTTGACTTTTCCACATGTTGGAAACACATTTTATACCTGGAAATGGACATGAACACAGCTTCCAAGAAAGAGAAACATTTTTGTTTCCTACAAGCTTTCCTACATTCAAGACTTGACATTAAGCAACAATCCAGTTAGGATGGGTCTGACAAAATGGTCGGAGGGGGGGAGAGATTGGAATTTTTGGTTATCTTTGAATTGTCCTAAAATATAAAGGAATAGCTTTAAATAAAAGAGTTTCATTTGATTTTTAATTTTAGTTTATACTTAACAATTATATAATTAAAAAATTTTTAAAAACTTCATTTAAGAAATTTTACATAAATTTGTCTTTATATGAAATTCATGTTTTTGTTTGTTTAATACTAACATCTTCCATTAAGATCTCCTGTTTACGAAAATATTCTTTCAATGATTACCCCATTTTATGACATGCTCTAAATCTTGAATTTTTATGTAATATCTCAATAGCAACACAAAAAAAAAATAACATTTTCTTGCAAAGAATTTTACAACATTATACCAATTTAAAATGTTTTTAAAACACTTTTATATTAAGTTTCCTCTAGCATTACAAATTGGAATTGACCACAATTCAAGCATCTGTTTCATAGTTGTAATGCGACAAATTAAAACTTACACACGCCTATTTCTCTATGAGTTTACAAACGTGTAGGCAACTCAGGCCCTGCACAACTAAGGCTGATCAGTCTCAGCGTCACAACTCACATGCAAATTTAGGAAACTCAAATGAAGGTTCCCATGGCTGAGTACGAGAAAAAGAAGAGGTGGTCAAAGATGGTTTCCACTTTCCACACGGGGCCAAAGCCAGCAGCCAACCTGATTTATCACTCCATCTGTTACATAATAAAAGAAATTTTTAAAGATAACATGGGTGACTGATCTCAAATTGAGATTAATTTTTTTTTTTTTGTTTTATGAAGTAATATCTAATTTAAAACCGTCAATTGGCTTGTGTTCAAAGATTTTTGTTGTTTCGTTTTATGATTTGGGATCTAATTAAGAGATTGTAATTGTTATTTTTATGGTCAAAAGGCAATTTGATATGCCCTTCAAATGCATTAGTGTGGCTCATGAATGGAGGAATTATATTTTCTGAGCTGGACCAGGGCCCCTCTATATTCCAACTCCATAGAAGGAAATTAAGAAATTAGAGAAAATGAATGAAATAATTTATTTACTTGCTACAATTTGAGTTTCATTATGGAAATGGAAGAAAATAAATAAATAAATAAAAGCAAGAAAACTATTATATTTAGTATAAAAAGGAGAAAAAGTAACAGTAAAAGAAAAACGACACAATAAAACTTAAAATGATAAATAAAACAACTTGTATATATTAATAGACATTATCATTTTTTAGGTGTGAAAACATGAAAATTTTTCATTTTCTTTCTTTTTTATTAAAAAGAAAGAAACTTTTTCGTCCTTTTATTGAAAAAGAAAATTTAAATGGAACACTCTAAATTTATAGTAATGATAAATGCATCTGTTATTACATCAAATACTCATCATGTATAGGAACAAATTCATCCTTCATTTCCTTCATCTCACATTTTTGTTTTCTTCCCTTGTTGCTATCTGGCTAGATTAATATGTAACAAGTAAGATATAGGTTTATCTTGTAAGACAAGCAAGGTGCTTATTAGATCTGTATGGTTTGTGGACTCGATCCGATTCAAGTTGGACTTTAAATATGAGTTTTGAAATTTGGATTTTCAAATTTGAAAAATTATTTCATTAATAAAAATTATTTTTATTTAATTTTAATTTTAAAATATATTTTAAATATTTAAATAGTAATATTTTAAAAAATTATATGTCGTAACAGTTTTGAGATTGTCAAACGTAAAGAATTTTAAAATTAAAAAAAATGAAATAAGTTACCATCAATCTTTTTTAGGATATGATTAGCCACTCAAAAATTTATCTTTTTAATAAAACTATAAAAGTGGATTTAAAGTTCATTAAAAAGATAAATTTTGGTCTAAAAAATTAGGTTGGATCTGAAAATCAGTTACATGTGTGAAAGGATTAGCACCCCCACAATACCCATAAATTGGTGTCATTTAATCATGCACTATTTTGAGTGTTGGATGAAATGGTTTCGATTTAAAATTTAATACTAATTCTCTTCATTTAAAAATAAATTTTTGTTGAAATTTTTATTTAGGAATATTGAGGAAATCTTTAAGTTAAAGAATTATCTTAAAATTCTCTAACATTTGGTAGAATTTAAAATAATTATTTTCACTTAAGATTCAACACAATATTCCTTAAAATGAAAATAACACTCTTTATGAAAAATGATTGTTGGTAACTTTCTAATATCTAGGCAGAGTACCAAAAATTATTTCTTTTGTAATGTTATTTTTGTTTTACTTTAATATCACAATTTTAAAATATTTATTTTCTTTTTTTGTTTTGTAAATCATTTTTATATGAGAAAATAAATGATGATATTATCAAGTAGCAAATAAAAATTAAAGACAAAGGAATGCCAAATGAATAACAACAATAATATAATAATGTATGTATGCCAATAAATATTATGCAAAATGATTAAATGCAATTTAAAAAAAATAGATTCTTAAACATAATAAGATCACTTTAACTATTTAACACCTAGGTAGAGTTTAGGTGTGACTATTTATATTTAAGATCCCATTTTATTAATATATTTTTTATTCATTAGTTATCAATTCCTTGTTACAGCTAATTAAGGACTTGCGAAAAAAACTTAGTAGAATAAAGTTTCTTAAATATCCCATCATCTAGGCCATAATCGAGAACAAATTACTCAACATGAGATTTTCATATATATCCTTAAAACTTCGAAATGGTATTGAACTTGGGTATGGGCCAAGGTTTTAAAGTTTGGTGACTTTTGAGTGATGGTTCAGGATTGTGTACCAAATTTGGGGTTTTAGGTATTTAGGTTTGGGATTTTGGATTTTAAGATTTTTTATTTTAGGTTTTAAAGTTTAGGGTCTTGATTTTATGGTGTATGGTTTCAATTTTAGGGTTTAGAGGTTTTAGGGTTTGGAAGGTTTAGGGTTTCAAATTTAGGGTTTGGAAGGTTTAGAGTTTAGTTTTAGGGTTTGAAGGTTTTAGGGTTTTGATTTTAAGGTTTAGAAATTTGATTTTAAATTTTAGATTTTAAAGTTTGAAGGGTTTAGGGTTTTAGTGTTTTTTTTATTATTATTATTTTAAAAAAACATGAACATTTTTAAAAATTTTTAACATCTAGGCAGACTTTCGAAGCAAATTCGATTTTTTATAATTTTTGCAAATTAATCTAAAATTTTTTTATATATTTTCTCCTTTTTTTATAACAATCTATTATTATTATTATTATTATTATTATTATTATTATTATTATTATTATTATTACTACTTGATAATTCTCCAACATCTAGGTTGAATTATCATTATTTAAAAAATGATTATATTCTCTCCAACATCTAAGTAGAAAAAATTTCATTATTACTAATTTATTTTATAAGCATTTTTATAAATATTTTATTATTATAAAAAATTTAAAAAGAATCAAAAATTTTAAAAATCAATTTTTTTGTTATTGTTGTTATTATCAATATTACTATTATTATTATTATTTTATTTTTGTTATTATTACTTATTATAAAACAATAAATTCTAAAAGTTTTAAACATGCATAAATAGCAATAATGAAGTCAAAAATTATATAAATAATATATATAAACCAATAAAAATCAAAAATAAAAAAAATTTTACCTGAATCAGACCGATCAAGGTCTGGTCAACGTCGATTCGATCGATTCAGTCAGTTCGATCATTTTACGGTTCAGTCAAGCTAATTGAACCGGTTCAGGGCTATTGAAGAAGGTGGGTCAACAGGTTGGTTGCACGGATCTCAGGTCGAATCACGAGCACATGCGAATCCTTTCCCCTTTAAATGGCGTTGTTTTGCTTTTTTTGTTTTTTTATATAAAAGTCAACTTTGTTTTTTAGATCATTTTCTCCTTTCCTTCGCGCCAACTGCTACTAAAGTTCATCGTCAATGGTGGTCATTGGTAATTGAAAAATGCAAAAGAAAAAACTCCCAAAAGCTTTCCTCAATGTCCTTTTTCCAAATCTGATCCATTTTTTATCGAAAACAGCCTCGATAAGAGCAAATCAAGCTTTAAAGTTTCTGTGTTTTTTTTTTTTTGAAAATTTAAATTGATGATCTCGTTTTTTGTTGCAGGAGGACTTTGGCGCTAAGGTTCCTCCCTACGGGAGGACTATTTGTTGTTTGTTTTTTTTTTTT